GCCACAACATGGTCGGGAGGGCCTTGAGGTAGTGCAGCTTGTTCCTTGTTACCTGATTTGGCACACGTACATGAGGCAACACTTATGTGGCAGTTGAGACTGATGCCCTGTGAGTCTCCCAATTAGTCTGTCCCTTGAACAGAAGAAGAGTGAAAAATGTCACTCTTCTTGATGGATATAGTCCTCTCACAGATGATCTAAGTCTCAGTCCTGTAAATCCTCACCAGTCTGTATCACCACTCTCTTTAACATTTCTATTGCTCTACATCATAACCATGTAGGCAATGTTGGTACTGCAAACAAAAGAGGACTGGATACCAATGCCTTATCCTAAAGCCAAGTGGCTTATTGGATACAGCTTCTATATAAATAAATAGTTTCCATGCTGAAAGTCTACCTACCTGCAGTTCACACAAGGAGAGGATAGCTGCTGTCTTTTCTGAATTTTAGTCCATGTGATCCTCAGCTCAAGTAAATTGTTCGAAGAAGTTGCTCTACTCAGGTTGATATGAAACATAGTGTATATGTGTAGCTTATAGCAGGAAAATTCTCATTGAACTCATTATTAAAAGAGCAGTTTTCAATGCTAGGAAGAATTCACCATCAATTAATGGTAGTGTTGTCTCAAAACAATATTTGGAAAGTACATCCAGGCATGTGCATGTGCATGCATGCACCACCTTGTTCATGACCTGCTCTTTCTTAAGTTCTCTGGACACTACATGTAAAGTGGAATTCTTAATTCTTTAAATAACTCATTTCTTCCTCTTTGAAAGAACTTACTCATGCTCTTTGAACTTCAAGGTAGAAAAATCAAAGGCAGTCACTGTGTCTCTTAGGAGTTCTTGACCTACTTCGCACTGATCAGTTCTCATCTCCTACACAAATGTAGAAACTGTGTCAGAAGGATTTACACAATAAGCTGTCAAGAATGTTTCTTCTTTTAACTTTATGCATTTCGAGGAAGGCAACCTGAATGGAATATGCACAAACTTTAGGTACAATTGTAGGAAAAATGTCTGTACCAATAGATAAGGTAAAAGATACCTATGTGGGCTCAAGAGGCTACTTGAATGAGTTGTTTAGTATAATTCAGAAAAGTGTATCTGAATTCTTTCATGTTGGCAGTGATATCAGAACTATTGCAGAGTGATTTTGTTGGCAGAGAAAGGGGAAATTTGAAAACTTAGGGGAGTGGGGTAAAGCAAAATATTTTCCCACTTGAAGGTAAAGTTCCACTAATCAATCATTGATCAATGACATGACAGAAAGGCTCATAATAAAATGTAATGATACATTATGAACATAGGAGTTCATATTTTTTAAATGTTGGCAAATAATCGAAGATCTGATTAGGTACTGGTTAGACCACTCATTCCTCAATCTGTCTAATGCTCATTAATTAAATCAGCAGTCCAGGATACTGCTATGCAGAGATAGGACAGATTAGGTTTCATTGTGAGATAACCTTTGAATTCTCCCCCAAAAAATGAAGGAAAACTAGTTACATTCACAACCTTGTTCTGTCTCTTCTCCTCACCCTCTCCCTGGGACTTCCTTAGCAATGGGGATTTCTCCCCCAGGCAGGCTCTGAGGACCATATCTGGGAATGCAACACAATATGAAGTGACAGTGTTACAGCTTTGGCATGTTGAATAAACAACCTGGTGAAGAAGTGACACCTTGCAAGAATCAGAAAGAGTTTTGGTCCCTGTCCTCAGTTAGGGGTCAGCCTCATGTTGTCACTGTGCACTCAGGCACAACTTGGTCACATCAGGTGGTGCTGGTCACTTGTGTAAGACTTGTACAGTTCTGTGCTAAATTGTGCAACAAACAACACATAGTCCATTTATTGCTTGGAAATGCCCTTGTTTCTGTCAGCAAACACGTCCCTACATGGATAGCAGTGTAAGTGTATTGAATAGTGCCATTAAAACACCACCAGCATTTTTGAATACAAAGGGTTTAGTTTTTGACATGTCCATTAACAGGTTCAGTATCTTTTTGTGCCAATATCTCTGTGACCTCGTGTGTGCATATATGCACGTGCATATGTGTGCCTTTTCACAAGCCTTTACTGCGGAAACTGAATGCTTGTATCTCTGTGTCTCCGTTAAGCACTTTGTATGGACAAATGGAAGGCACACCTGCATCATTGTTGTAATGCCTCCAATACAAGGGCAGAGCTTTTCTCAAACTGTATGGGAGAAACTGCCTGTAAGAGAAAAAGGATCCTGATTTAAAGGATGTTGGATCCATCAGTGACAACCAGCTTAAACCTACAGTGGCACCAGCATTGTCAGACAGTGAGCAGCACCAAACGCAATGCTGATCTTGCATTGCTTCTTTAAATGAAGAGTGGCCTGTCCTGAGCACAGATGGATTTAGCTCCATGTGTTCCATGTGCCAGTTGCCAGTGGGATTCTCTGAACAGCTTGGTTTAGCACCCCTGTAGAGTAGTTGTCCCATGAGAGCACCTGGGTTTGCTCTGACCAGAGCATGTAGCACCCTTGCTCCAGGCTGCATCCTCATGCTCTCCTCAGCCCCCCACCTCTTGTTTCTCATAGCTGCCCCTCACCTCATAGCTGCTGCTGGGGCTCGGTTTGGGTCTCACTCCTTTCTGCAGTGTTTTCCTCCAATTTAGACGTGATGGGCAGGGATAAGAGGGTCTACGCCATGCTTCCTGAGGCTGTTTGCCATAAGCTCCTTCAGAATGGTGGATCTGGACCCCCATGCTAGGAAAGGAGGTATGTGACCCAGGCCAAGCTTCCTCCGAGCTGGCGTGATGCACTCTCCTGCCCTGCAGGCCTTCTGCTCTGCGGTCTCCAGGAAAGACCACGATCTGCTTCTCTGGAAGAAAAATGTATGTGATAGACAAGTTCCATTTAAAGCCTACTTGTGGGAATGCATCTTGTCATCATGATGTTCTAAATACAGATGGACATATTCCCTTGCATGAAGATGAATGCATCACACCTGTGTGTTGTTCTGAGCACAGCTATTAAAATGAGGAGAGTTTGATAGATACTCACCACCACACATTAAATCTGAAACCTACTAGAGCCGTATCCTCTCCATTTTGTGCATGTACCAGCAGTAACCAGGTAACAGTAAACTGATTTACATTCCAGGGCGATTATCCACAGTGATGTGCTCCATTAAATGGGCGGACGGTGGCTTACATTTCATAATCTATAGTGACATATTGGAAATGAAAGTGACAAAAATTATAGATAGCCCTTTGGGTTAAGATGTGAAAGAAAAGGCATGGAGGAGAGAGGCCCAGGGGCTTGCTTTTGCAAAATGCCAAACCAGGCTGCGACGTGACAGCACAAAGGGTTATAGTAAATGGGGTAACATCAGCCTGGTGACTGGTCACTTGTGGGGTTCCATAGGGCTCCATCTTGGCCCAGTGCTCTTCAACATCTCCATAAACGATTTGGACTCAGGAATTAAAGGCGTACCAAGTAAGTTTGCCTATGATACTAAGTTGGGAGGAGCTGTTGACACCCTCAAAGGCAGAAGGTCCTGCAGAGACACCTTGATAATTTAGAGGGCTAGGCAATCACCAATCATGTGAAGTTTAAGAAAGACAAGTGCCAGATTCTGTACCTGGGACAGGGCATTCCTGGATGTTTGTACAGACTGGGAAATGAGATGCTGGAAAGCAGTGCGGTGGAAAGGGACCTGAGAGTCCTGGTCAGTGGCAAGTTGAATATGAGTCAGCAGTGCCCTGGCAGCCAGGAGGGCCAACCATGTCCTGGGGGGCATCAGGCAAAGCATCGCCAGCTGGTCAAGGGAGGTAATTGCCCTGCTCTGCTCTGCACTGGTGCAGCCTTACCTGGAATATCGTGGCAGTTTTGGGTGCCACAATATAAGAAAGATATGAAGCTATTAGAGAGAATCCAAAGGAGGGCTATGATGATGGTGAAGGGTCTGGAGGGAAAGCCTTAGGAGGAGCAGCTCAGGTCACTTGGTCTATTCAGCCTGGAGAAGAGGAGACTGGGGGGAGACCTCATTGCAGTCTACAACTTCTTCATGAGGGGAAGAAGAGGGGCAGGCACTGATCTCTTCTCTGTGGTGACCAGTGACAGAACCTGAGGGAATGGCTGAAGTTGTGTCAGGGGAGGTTTTGGTTGGATATTAGTAGAAGGTTCTTCACCCAGAGGATGGTTGGGCACTGGAACAGACTCCCTAGGGAAGTGGTCACCGCACCAAGCCTGACAGAGTTCAAGAAGGATTTGGACAACACTCTCATGTATATGGTGTGATGCTTGGGTTTGTCCTGTGCAGGACAAGGAGCTGGACTTTGATGATCCTCGTGGGTCCCTTCCAAGTCAGGATATTCCATGAATCCTCCCATTTCCACTTGAGGAGTGTGAAAGGAGGGCACTAAGCCCCTCAGAGGAGTGTAGGGTGGAGAAACTAAATATTCATTTCTTTCCAAATATCATTTTCTGTTGGTAAAAGAACATTAAATTTGTTACTTTTCAAGTACTTTTCTATTTTTTTATGAAGGAACATCATGAATGTGTGTATGCCAGTGTGTATTTGAGGATTTAGTTCAACTCTAATGGTTTGAGAGCCCCAAAAATCCAATTCTTGAGTCCAAGCCCCCCTCCCACATCTCGACCCAGTGTGAGATGGGTTTTCCAGACAACACATGAGACTCAATATGGGGGAAAGGGAACTATATTACAATGACTGTACAAATAAATATTACAATACATCATATACAATCATAACTATCTTTTCTATGATAAAGCAATATTTACAATGGATCAAATCTCTTCTCCCTCCAAATAAAAGTCCAGGAGAGAAGAAGGAAGGGATCCTTTCCACTCTCAAAGCAGCAGTCTCTCTAGGGCACACAACATAGACTTAGGTTGAAAAATAACCCATTACTGACCCCAAGGCAAGCAATGAAGACTGAGATGGATGGAGCTAGTAGAAATGTCTGAAAAGAATCTCAGATGACTGAAATTTGTATTAGACTGAATTTATTTTTTTAAAACCATAGAGCACTTGAATAGAGATAAACACTCAAACTGGGTCAACTCACAAACATTCAACAATTCCATGTCTTTCTTTGATGACTGCTTCTTGGGTCACAGCGTTCTGATGCTGCACAGTTAAATAAATAAATAGGGCCATCAGGCCATCATTTGTGTCTCCAAGTTTCTGAGGTCAGTTTTGGGTGCTCTGGGGTCTTTGGGGTTTCTGGAAGAGCCATGGCTGAATTCAAGGATGTCTGTAATATTGTTTTATTCAAAGTTAGCATCCTAAAAAAAGAGTTAATCAGTCACATGTCAAGACAGCCTCTAAAAACAGAAACAAAAAAATAAACCACTACAGACTTACCTTAAAAGATAGCTCCTAACTCAACAGCTCCAAAGTCTAATAAGTGCAATATAAACATCTTTTGAGCAAAACATACTGGTGAAATAATGTTTATTGTGTTGCAAAAATCAGTGCAATCTGCAGGGACTGAATCAAATAGCTGTACAGTCTACCCTGTGATTCGTTTTGCTTTCATGAGTAAGGGATGCTAGGATGAAATGGAATATGCATGTAGTTGGAATGGTTGGAATATACATGGTGAGAAAATATAATCACTTTTTTTTTCAGCTTGGGATCTGACAGTGAGATATGTTTTCCATTGCTTTCATTAATGTATCAAAATGTTTCTGTCATGTGGTGAAAACCACTAATTCATGAAAGTGCGGATTAGATGCCACAACCCCTAAACTAACAGAGAACCTTTTATTTAGGCATAATTATGAAATTCTACCATCACCCAGTCTTTTGCTGGCATGGAGAATTTGCTATAATCATTCACACATATATTTTTGTGTGAGTTAGGCTTGCAGCTCATATTTTTAAAGTATCTGTGTCACTCTCTGAGCTCTTTTGCTTTAAAGTAAATATATAATTGCATGAAAAAGATTCGCAGTGTCACCATCATAATTTCTTTACTCTAAAGTGGAGATGAGTCAAGCAGAAATTAAATTATAATCAAGTAATACCTATCTTACATGCAACTATCAGCCCCTTACTTGCCAGGACTGAGATAAGTAGCATTAATTTTTTGAGCTCGTGATATGGGAAATGAGTTCACTGAGTATTGTAAGGCCAGTCTTTGCCCCGTGAGGTATATTCCTGCTAGAGATATGTCTACAAGAGAGGGCAAGCAAGTCCTGAGAGGGCTCTGAGCATCCTTGGAGCTGCACCGAACATGTGGCTACTCTAGAGCACATGGAAAGCAAGGCTGCTTCTGTCTACAAAACACCGCGGACATATTCTAGTCAATATTTCCCAGCTCTTAAACAAATGAAGTGCACATGCACGGAGAAGAGAGCGTGAGAGGGTTGTGGTCATGGCACTGCACTGAATCTGCACATTTTTCTGTGCAGCTTTGGGCTAGTCTTTCCTTTTCCTCCCATCTTAACTCTCCTTCTGATAAACTGCAATAAAGATGCTGGCATTTACAAGTGCAAGGTTGGCTTTCTATACGGTCATGACAGGTTTGCTTAGGCAGGGTCGTGATGGGTCATTCAAGCACCAAGCCAGAGGGAGAGGGAGCAAACCAGAAAGGCTGACATGTTAAATGATGTATTGCAATAACAGTGGTATTTGTTTGGTTTTTTTTTTTATAACTAGAAGAATTTATAAAAGGACAGTAAAGCAATGGCAATCAACTTGTCACATCACAGCCCATTGCAGTTCTCCTTCTCTTTTGTGCTGTCACTGTGCACCCACTGAATGAACAGGCAAACCCAGCTTCATTTCGGCTTCGGACAAGCACTGTCAGTCACGTCTGACAACAAGCATTTGGTGCCCATTTTTAGAAAGATTTTAACAGATCAGTCTTTATCTGGTGGTTCAAAGAAGCAGTTCCATCTGTGTGCAGCTTCATACTTGCAAATGCTGTGCTTGATCTTTAAACGTATCATTGTTCTGAGTCACTGGCTGCTTCTGTTTTAATGTAGGTGATCTGATTCACCAAAGTAAGTTAATAATATGACTGGGGAAAATTAAGTTCCTATTTCTATGAAAGCATAAATGTTATCTGAAATGGTGACATTTACGATTCATGGAAAAATATGATTTGTTTTATATGCAGTTGTTGAGCTGCCAAGGAGCTTTTTTTATTTTAGCAATTTAAGCTTCTCTATAAAGTAGATGATTTAAGACAGGCAGAAGATGTCTTTTCCTCACTGATCCATTATGCCTGCCTTTTCTCTTTACTCTTGCTCTGCAGCAGGTGAAAAAGCAACAATGGCTAGAAATCATCAGATAAACATACACAGCTCATTTTTCTTTGTAATATGAGGGAGGGAGAAGAAAACCTTATAAAACACAGAGCCATAAAAGGAAAAAGGAACAGACAATTCTATCATGATGGATAACACTTACACAATTAAATAAAAATACACTTGCAATACTAAAGAGCAGAGCACATTTCATTTTTATCTGCAGTGTCACTCTCCTAATGGTTTCTGTCAAAAAAACCTAACCAAAACAAATCTGCGAAGCAGACGAAGTCTCAGGTTTCAGGGATGCAGAGTTCTGCCAGGTGGATCAGAAAAGTAGGTCAGTGGGTCATTAATGCAAACGTGACGGGAAATAAACCCCAACCTGCTGGAAAGGAAGAGGTTTAGCACAGTCGTCCATTCGATACACTCCCTGCATATCATTTTCTCTAAGCAGGCATTGCAGTTCAAGCACTGCAAGCTAAAATGCAGATCTGAGGACATCTCAGAGACTGAAATACCTTCATCCCCTCATATTGTGTGCAGACCTCACAAATCACATTACATAGATGGTGGGGGTTTCACACTCAAAGAGCAACATATATTACAATTTCTGTGTGCCTGAGTACATTGCAAATAATTTTCAGAACTCCTTGCAGTCTTATTTCTATTACTGACCAAGTCACTTAACCCTTAAAATGGTTTTCATCTTCATATATCCCCCTAAAAACCTGGAGTATTTTTGACATTTCATTTTCCAAGCAGACTTTATAGATGAAACACTGGCAATTTCCACCTGCAGCCTTGCGCCTTTGGCTGCTTTGCAGCTTTCCCCTAATACATGGTGGGGAACATGTGGTGGGGAGGGAAAACGAGTCCTGTTCCCTTGGGCATGGAGGGAGGATGCCATCCTGAGCTCCTCAGTACCCTGCAGACAACCCCTCTGCACACCCTGCATTCCTGTCTGCTGCTTGTCTGGTTCCTTTTCTGCCATCTGCCTTTTCCAGGCCACCCCAATGGAGACCCACCAGTGGAAACCTTTGCTTTCAGGCTTTCTGAATCTGTTTCCTCTTACTTAGTTTACCTTACTTGGTATAGAGCTGTGGGGTTTTACACATTTTTCTCTTCTGATCAAAGAATCAAGCATGGGTTTTATTAATTCCATTGGGTTTTATTCACATTACTGGCTTTATTAGAATTTCTTGAATTTCTTGTTTTGTACTGTTTTAGTATGGCACCTAGTTTTTTCATCTCTCTTACCTTTTTTTTTTTATTTTATTTTTTGCATCAGAGTTTTGTATTTCCTCTGACCTTGAAAAGTCCATTTGAGGAAATTCAGAGTCAGTGGTTAAGAAATCTGCTGCAGCCTGAAAATCCTTGGAAATCCTTCATGATACATTAGTTCTCAGAAACATCTGACAAACAAAAGGCCTTTGGTGGTTAGAGGATTAAAAAAATACATGTAAGCAAGCATAGAAATTTGGAGCTAAGATTTATTATTTATCATCCATACAATAATTTCCTTGCACTTCTTCAACTTTCCTTTTGGCTGGCATTATATCTTTTCTGGGCAACTCGAGAACCTGAATGCAGATATGGCATCTTAAAAAAAAAAAAAAAGAACTACAAGCCAGGCACATCCTATATATTGTCCTGCCTGATTTAGATTGAACTTTTCTGAAATGACAAGATAATCAACCAAATGGTGCGTGCAGCAAGAGAGGTCACCATGCATATTAAAGCACTGTAGCACATCCTTACTTAATACCAAGGTGGATCTGGGTGCCTTCTAAGATCATGGACCTGAATATCTTGTCCTGGCCAGGACAGCCTGTGGTCCTTTGAAGGGTCAAATAATTCACCTGGCGCAGACAGCAGGTCTACAGCAGAAGGAGGAATGGAGGCCAAGCCTCCTGGTTCCATGCGTGGTCCTCGCTGCTCAATTGATTAGCAGGTAATTGCTTTTATGTGTCTAGAATAGTATATAATAGACTCATGGATACCTACAGGTTGTAGATACTGATTTGAATCCAGATCATTTAAACAATTGTTTCTAATTATGATTTCACTCATTAACAGAAAATGGCTAATCCTTGTTTGCTGCTTGTTTTAAATTTATACTTCTAGAATATTTCCCCACACGTAGGCCTGTACTAAATAATTGATGTGCATTTATATTTCTTTTTGCACAACTAGAAAGTAAACAAAATCCACATCAAATTATCTGTGTAGCTGTGGTTTACAAATATTTATTCAGACCCTTTATTTGTGAGGTACTTAATTTTGAAATGCCAGACAAAGCATCTCTTGTTTATTAGATGATGCCTCCTTCTTACTTCAATTTAAATGAAAATGGAATTAATTAAAATACGTGAAATCAATGCTTTGTTATTGTTTGAATCCTCTCAGTAAAGCTAACTTAGATGCTCTTTATGTGTGGGACAAAGTGAATGTGCTATAGCACTTTGATCAACTAAAGAGTTTTAATAAACAGAGGAGGTAACATTTCTCTTTGTCTCTTTGTCTAATTAAATTGGTTATTTATGGTCACCTACCTTTTGCTTATCTTAGAACTAGTACTTTCATCCTTTCACATTAGCTTTTACTCACTAGGGGGTTTTTTTGGGTTTTTTTAAGTGAGTACTTGGCTTTCAATTTAAATGATCTAGTTCTTGACCAGAGCTACTTGAAAAAAATGTAGATCAGAAAATGTTCCATTTGTACTTACAGTAGAAATTACCTCTGATTAAAAAAATATTTGTCACAGTACCAAACCCCACTTCCAAGTCTTTACCAAATATCTTCCCCTAGTTGTAGGATGTCTTTCTTCAAAACCATGGCTGCAATCATATAGTTTGTTACTTTTACTGTAATTTATATTATTCTAATATATGATAATGAACTTAGACTTTCCCTTATTTTGTCATATTTTACATTTTATTTTTAAGCAATTATTGCTTTAAAGAGAAAAATTTGATTTAATTTCAAGTATAATATCCACATTTTTAATAAAAAGAGTAATAGACTTTCATCAGTACAGCAAGACCAAAAAAACAAATTTAGCAACATTTCTCTCACCATATATGTCAACTTATTTTATACAGTAATATTAATTATCTCTCTGAGATTTGCAGGTGCTTCAGACATATTCTATTGATGAAGGAACATACTACAAGTGCAGTCTAATTTCTACTCAAATCCCATGTGTAAGTCCTTGTGGAAACTGGATTAAAAAAAAGAATTCGCTAGGTGTTTTGTTAAACTGAGGGCCAGAAGAGGGATGCCAAACAATTTAAAGAGATTAAGGATCATTGCAGAAAGTATAAGTATTTATTTGAAATCTCCAAGTGTTATGAAAATAAAAGTCAGAGGAGCAGTCAGAAAAAAATTAAGTCTTTGTTTTAACTAATGAGTTACGATGCAAAACAATGATGATGAAAGAATGACGTGCTATTGAAGTTGTCATCTTAGTTTTAGAGGTCATCTCAGACTGCAGATGCCAATTCACTCTTTCAGTGCCACGCAAAAATAGGTAGGGCTGTGAGGGATTTTTCCAGTGCCCAAGCTCCAGGTTGTCATCCTGCCTCCAGGTATCTACCTGGAACCCCTCCCCTATTGCTCCCCATTTAGGAACTCTTGAGGACAGATCCTCATGGGGTGAAATGGTCCTGTCTTGATGGAGCTACAGTGTTAACATCAGCTGAGTACCTGTCCTCAGCACACACCCTACTGGTGAGCCAGCAAATGTGTGTTATACAGCAGGAATTATCTTTGAAATGAATTTCTAAAACAATGCATTTAACATATGAAAGCCTGGGAATCCAAAATGAAAGTTTTTACATACTTGGCATTCATTTGTAAGTTGGCAGTGACAGCTTTCATCCTACAGAAAACATTTTTTATCTCATGAAAGTTGAAAATAGCTTTGTGCAATATCGGTGCCTCTCGCTAAGATGGGGCTTTTCATCCGTGACCTACTTTGCTTTCTGCACAATATACCTAATGAGTAATAATGACTTCGGAAAGGGCAGCGCTAGAGAAGTCATCGAAGTAACGCCTTAAGATGCTGTCTGTGAAAACATCAAACAGAATATTTTTCGTCAGGCTGAATAAAAGAATCTGGTTACAGCACACATAAGTTTAAGACTTAAACAACACTCGGCTGATGGGTGAAGGCTCTTTGCACCAGGCAGCTGTCGCGGCGTGGGGCCGGTGGTCATGCTGTGACAGCGCGGCAGTGGTGCTGTCAGCGCCCCAGGGGGCCGTGCAGCACACAGGCATCCCTGCGAGAATCGTGGCACCCTCTGGCACAGCAGCGCAGGAACCTGTCCCAGCTCGGCTGTCTCGGGGGCAGCAGGGCACCCGTGAGACTCTGCATCCTGCAGCCTTTCGGGTTGGAGAGAGACCTGGAGGGAGCAAGGACTGGGACTGAGCAGGTGGGAGATAGATTAGGGAGACACAACAGATAAGGGTACAAAGCTCCATCCTCACTTGCAAAGCTGCTCTGTCTTTTAGTGGCCAGTCACTCATTGGCATGGCCCGCTCCCCACCTAAATTTGCCCATCTGCTCTTCTGTAGCCCTCCTTTACCTGTCACCACTCTCCAACTGAGAGCCAGAGTTATGTGACAGCCACCTCCCTCTTTCCTTTGCCATGGGGCCAATGCACAGGTCCTGCTTCTTCAGCCCTCGTTGGGTCCCTGGGTTTCCTTTCCTTTGCAAACCCCCAACCCACAAGCCACCCCTCCCACTTATGAAGGATAAAGCTCTGCCCCTTCTCACTCTCCCTGTTCCATTTGTACTCCAACATCCTAGATGATGTTTAGTTTCATTGCAGTAGTCTTGGTTAGACAAAGAAGGTAAAATATTTCTTTTTTATAGTTATTGCTATTAAAATTCTCCTTTTCTTTTTAGTCTGGAGTACTCTGATTTTGCAGAAGTGGAAAAGATATGGTTTTTTCTTCTTGGGTGACTGAACTTTTGTTATTGCAAAGATAATTTATTTTGTTCTTCTCAGGTGAGCTGAGAATACTCTTGACAGCAGGGGTATTCCTTGTGAAACTGTATAGAAGGAAAAGGACTTTATGTATCAAAAATGCATGTAAGTCTCCATTTCAAAATTCCACGCAAGCCATAACACTGTATCATTTTTTTTTCTTTCTGTCAGCAGACGTCTTTGAGTTTTCACACCAGGCAAACTTTGAATTGTATTTTGCTTCTCTGCCCATGGAGCATAATCAGAAACCTGAGGATATTGCCTGAAAAGCACAAAATGCCTCCCTGAACAATGAAGAGTAAATAGAGCAGGCCAAATGACAGGCAGCTGAGAGGAGAGAGGAGCTGCAGAAGGAAGATGAGTTGCAAGTTTGCTGCTGCAGGCGAGGAAAGGACACAGAGGGGAGTTGTAGCCTCCTCAGCCTCCAATGCTACCTTGAGAAAAAGTTTCTTGCTTCAGGCACAGCTCAAGATGAAGGTTGTTCTGGGGGATTCAACATACAGGTGATCAGCAGGTCAGAGTTGGGAACAAATTCAATTTCATACCAGTTAGTATAAACCAGTCCTGAGGAAAACTGAAAGCCATGAAAGCTGACTTCCCTCACAATATGTATAGTAGTATAAAGGAGTATTAAGATGCCGATATTCTCAACGTCCACAGTAGCTGCAAGGCCCCTTTATAATACTGACATGATCTGAAGGGGCGTTTGTTTAAGTGAAAACCATATCCAGTGCCTTAAGTAGGTCAAGTTCAAAGCCTAGTCAATATTTGAAAAATCTGTGTAAGTTAAAGAGGCAATGAGAAAAATTAGCATGTGAGCCCACTAGAGCTTTTCTTTACAACTGCACTTTTCATGGGGAAAATGAGGACAGTACACAATGAATCAGTATTTGTGTCCCAAATACCCAACTCCTTCTCTAATTTTTCCATAAGAAAAAAACAAAAATAATTCAGACACACTTTTTCTGAGCATTTACTTGATCGTCCTTTTTTCTAAATTAGGAAATGGAAACTTTGATTTTCCATCATAACTTCACCAGAAAAACCAAGAGCTAAAAGTGAACTTTATTTAACTTAATTCCCAAACTTTTACTGTACATCCTAATTACAGTATATTGCTGTAACTTGGAAAAGCTGGATACCAGATATAGACACCACAAAATATAGACAATGGATGACAGGAGAAGCCTTTCAAACCAATTACTAAAACTGTTTCTTCATTTACAAAAAGCTGAAATGGAAGAATGATCTAAGTGATGTGGGGGATTGCAGGGCAGGGAAGGAAAGGAAGAAAGGAAGGACAGCTCATGTCAGCTCGGGCCGGTGACATTTAGGCATAGTTTCCCTTACGTTCCTCTTTAGCCAGTGTACTTCCAGAGAGCAGCTCAGAGCAGATGTTGTGAGTCATCTTTTGGCAGAGCCTCTTGATGAGCTACAGTGGTATTTCAGTTCAGATTAGGAGTGCACTTCAGGAGGAACTATCCCAATTGTCCCTACTTACAACACTGGTTTTCATGGCCGAGCAACTCTTGACTTCCAAAGGAAACCAAACTGGGGGAGGCACTCCAGGAGGGCACTCAAAGTGCTACAGCCACAGGAGTACACATGCTTGACATGTAGGACTGACCAGGCCAAATTTGAAATAAAATATGTTAAATTTGGAGAAGTAGGCCTCAGCACTGACTGCTTTACTCTGTGGCTCCACAATACTTTTTACCATAGGTGCAATTTCCGTACCTTGGCATGCAGAGAGCCTACGGAGCACCTGTCTCAAGCAGTTGAGTTTAACATCCAAAGGTACCTGGTGTAAACATCCCTCAGTGCATCTTCCAGCTGCAGCTGTTCCAAAAGCCAGCACCATCCGTGTGATGCCTGCCAGGATGCTCTCAGAAGGACATGCTGTTGCAGGGACAAGTCCCAGCAAGCTGAGATTGCCTGTAAACTCTGGCAAAAAGTTCAAAAGGTGCATGATGAGCCACAAACACTTTCCCACCTTGGTCACTATTTAAACTTCCTAGTTTGACAAAAATTAATTTATTGAGTCAGTGCAAAAACTTGTGGGTTAGTCTCCTGATCATAGCAAGCATGTTTCTGTGATTCATCTGGGTGCAGAGCTCTTGCTGAGAGGGAGTACCCAAGGGCCTTTGTCAGAAAGGGTTTCTGAAGCAGGTTCAAGATTTTCAGATTAATAAATAGAGAGGAAGATGGAAAGGAAGCAAGATACCATGTGGAAAGAAAGCATAGTTATTTACTGGATGCTGTTTTTCAAAGCTGCACAAAATTTGGATTCTGTGAGGCTAAATTACAAAATTCCCACTGCTGTTAGTGGGGCCAGAATCTGATCCTTGTGAGTCTGGGATTTTTGGCCCAGAGCTTTTCATCCGTATTTGATCCAAGTAAACTACTAGACTGAAACCAGACCAAAGTAGAGATGCATTTATGCCAACAGAGACTCAATAAGATGAACATCAAAGTCAAAAAATATTACAATATTTATTTATTTCAGATTTATTTTATTCTTAAAAGAACTTAATAGGGTTTTTCTGTGTTCAGTTGTAATTCTAGCTGCAACACCAAAGCCATACCTGAGTTTAGCCAAGAAAATGAACCAACCACAAACCGTAACAGCAGTTTTCAGCTGACAGTCTTGGTTATGTCTCTAAAAATACTTCAGATATGAGGCATGTTAAATAGTATTTTGTTAAGGTAAAGAGAAGAAAGAGAGCATTACAGAGACACATGATTTTTCTTGTATTTCATATTAACTTTAAAAATATAAGGATTTTTTCAGTACCACAGCATGAACAATGAACTATAGTAAAAGCAGGGACATGGATGACAGTCTTTATTTGAGTCTGAAACACATTTCCTTCTTTCCAAAGAAAAACATGGTGTCAGTACAGTTAAATAATTGTACTGTTTTGAAAAGTTCACTGTAGTTTTCCATAGACAAATACGCACAAGTGCTGTAAGAGAAGAAGTGAATACTAACAAATTGTCTTAGCTGCCTTGTACTGATTCCTAGGCAACACTGATGTGCTTCAGTTTTACACTTCACTAAGGATAAACAATGTGGCAAAACATTAAAAGCTATGCAAACATGGTTTCAGGATCTCATCTGTGAGATCCTTTTGAAAACTATCTTTTTTCTTACCTAATGCCCTCACAAGAGTAAATTTCTCATTACATTTCTGCCAACTGCAGAATTCCAGTCAAGTGAGAAGAAATAATGAGCAACATTACAGCGACCAGAGAAAAGAATACATGAGAAATTCAAAGTATTTCCCACTACCCCTGCTGCATAAATATGCACTTTCCAGGAAGAAGAGAGAAAAGGTAGCAAGGATGTTCCTTTGCCCACACCAATCCTGACCCCACAGCCAAGATGCTGAGACTTGTTCATATATACAGCTGCCTACTGCTTGTAAGCCACTCTGGAATGGTCATGGTAACATCATGTCTCCTCACTGCTTGTTAAATTGAAAAGAGGGACTGAAGATAACAAGAATACTTTGGTCTCATGCCAACGTGAGTGTTTGAGTGGTCTGTCTCTTTCTTTGGAGATGATAGTGTTCCACGAGCACTCCTTACCTTTGGAGGACCTATAAACCAGCCCCAAACACCTGAGAGCCATGGCGTGCAAGCAGGGTATCATCTCTTTATGCTATTTTCCCTAGTAGGTAAAACTTCTGCATTTATTTTTGGACTTAAAAAGTCTCTGCAGACCACTTGGTGTTTTCCACATCATAGAAAAGGAGTATCCTGTCTGCCTTCAGAGATATACTCCCAGTGTCCCAGGCTGAAATACTTCTATGCCTGATCCAGTGAGCCTCCAATACTTTGGGTAAAGGCTAAATCAGACACGAATTTGAGACTGTTAAAGCTGTTTAAGTTATCCATAGAGTATAAGCAGTGTGTACCTTTCATTGCAAAATTCCTTGATTCTTAGTGTCATTACTAAATATGAGTATTTGGCCTAGGGTTATTAAAAGAGCCCTTGGATCTCGACAAAATTCCACATTTGTCTGAGTTTTTATCCTCAGGATGAAATCGTAGAATGATTTAGGTTGGAAAAGACCTCTAAGATTATTGAGTCCAACCAAAATGTATTATCTCAGGGAGTTTTGACTAAAGAATGACCCAAGAAACCAGTCAGATGATGACTTTGCTTGAGTTTTGAGCAGTTCAGAGAAGGGCTGAGAGACAGGGAGCCTGAAAGGGACAGTTAGCAGTTAGCAGTTGGTCTCAGATTGGCAAAGTCAGCTCAAATGCA